TACCCACAAGAAGTGTGATAGAACACTAGATATTCACGCTTATCTTGATATATTCATCTCAATCGAACGTGTAGATTTAAGGCTTCAAGCGCGCTTCAAGCGCTGTCTATTTTTCCTTGAAGCTGAACCCTTGAATGCCTTAAATGCAACATAGGTCAGATGTGTTACATCAGACTTAAAATTGCGCCAGAACACACATTTTAGGTACAGCAAGATTCCTGGGTAATTAGAACTACTCATCCATGCTTTATTTTTGATAATTGATTGCACTAGAATGTATAAAAATCGAATTTGTTTAATAGATAATTATAGTTATCTAGTAACTGCTTGCACGGTGTACCACCATGGTGGCGCCTACAGCTCGCGCGATTTTCTATACGTTAATCAACAACGTTACTATGATTGAACTCGAACAACGTGTTCTATGCGCGCATAGGATATGCGAACGTTCGCATATACTATGTGCACGTCTGATTTTTTTGTTTCTCATTTGTTTAAGAAAACGAATTAACATTTAATTATTATAATATTATTTGTTTTCATTTGAGTGTACTAAAGAAAGCGCATCCTCTAATATCTACTTATTCCCAGGGCATACCTAATGGAGAACAGAATCTGTCCTTACCAATGTTGAGTTTATTCACGATATAACAACAGAACGCTGGTAGAATCAGAGTTCTAGTCATCAAATTGTCTCTGAAGCCAATTTGTAATTTTCTCCCCGTTTATGGATTTCATAGATCAATCGTAGACACTGTCCGTCTCACCCAATCGCGTCCTGTAGAATAACCGCTGTTTATACGACAGTTTGCACACTTCCGCCGATTAACGCTGATGTAACCGTGAATCCGTAGCCTGGACCTAGATGCCCCATTTCGCACTGCATTGCCCTGCATTGTTCAATGCAGACAGACTTGGCATCAGTTCCACCGAAAGCCGACACGCAACTCTCGGTGGTCGATGCCACCCTTAACAATTAGGCGCCATAGGGGTAACGCCCGAATTGATCAGGTACAGGGTAGTGACCCCTTATCTAGTTTCCTGTTGCCTATGACATTAACGATGCAGACGGACACCATATGGCTACCTTAATCACTCGTACTCCTTAGATGGTTGGGTAATCCTTTTAGTAGGTGTGAGACATCAGTTCGATCGCTTCTCAATGGCACTCGATAAACGCCAATAGAAGCCGGAGCCTCGCGTACGAAGTCCCGCAGATGATGCGCACAATTCCGTTTTTGAGGAGGATTAACCGTTCGTACAATAAATACGGTAGACCGTGAAGGCAATTTTTGTATTTTTTTTTGGCTGGACAACTTACATTGGCAATACTCGATATGTTAGCGCTTTCCAGTAGCGGCGTTAGGGTTCGTTAGATCCCATCGCGACTGGTAAATACTCTGCGTTGAGTGCGATGACCGAAGGGAGTGGTCACGGTTTCTAGACGGGGTAGACGCCGTTTTACCGGAACCTTTATTGCCGCAATCTGATTGGCTCTGACTACGTCTGAGCTTATCAGTGTTGTAGAGATCGTAATTGGACTTGATTATCGGAATTACGAACGCCATTCTGCCCGTTGGTTGGTGACGTTTCCGAGATGTATAACAAAAAAACTTTCCTAGAAATTTGTACCTTGCCTGGTTATCAGAGTCCAGCAGATTTATGTCAGTTTAAACTGCAAGCCTTTACCTTTCGTTGAGCTATACTCAATTTTTTTTCTGCCACTCTCTGTCTGCTGGCGCGATAGCATTAGTTCTGTGGCGCAGTCTCACCTACATATATACAAGCCGCTACTCACTCCAGACAGACGACTCTTTCCCAAGCGACAATCGTTATCGTCTCGATCTAACTGCGCAACCTGTACAAGAATCGCCACCAGCCCAACGCCGTGGGATCTCCACGCCCTAATATGTTCTACCCGTGCCACTTACCTCGTAGCACCCAGTTTATTAAATAGTAGTTCCTTGGTCCGCAGCAGCCACCCCCTTGACCTTGTTTTTCGGGAAATAATTAACAGCAACAGCATATATATATATATATACATATATATGGGATAAATTACATCTGTCACTCCTTGATATAACCCTAAGGAAACTATGAGTGACATATTGTTTACATCGACATGACGGATTCGATAGAATCGATGTTCTTGTCAAGATATGTCCCTCCGTTTGTCGATCTACTCACCGTGCTATTGCTAAACCAGGCCACCTATAAAGTTTCAAGGTGACAAAATGACACATATTCCCCGGCTTGGCACGGAATTACGGTGCAAATGACGCGCTTATTACAGAAGCTGTTTGTTGGTGTAGTCCGATGTTCGTCACTGTTCTTGTTGTGAAGAAATGAATTACCGCACTTCCTTCAATACAACGGCACTCCCAAGGGGGCCTTTCATCATTAGTGGTAGTTCCACAAAAAAGTGTGAGTGACCCAACGAAGCCTTGAAGCAGGCGTAGCCTTATAGAGCGCCGCGTCATCCTCGATTATTATAGCAAGCAACAACGACTGTAGTAGTGGTCAATTAAGAATGAGAAGATTTGTTTTGTTGTAGATTTTAGTTGGCAGGTAGACAGGCCCGTGCCTATTCCCCGCTTATAACGCATAAGTTCTTCTATAACTAATGTATAGATTAAAAGCCCTATGAAGACTCATATTACTAAAGCCTAAAGAATGAATTGTCGTCAACAGCTTTTGGGCTCTTTTAGTTAAAGCTCTTAGGAATAAAAGAAGAATAGTAAAAAAAATTTTTTTTTCATTTATTAAGTCAATTATATTTCAAGAGTAAAAATTAAGGTGAATCATAATCATCATCATCATCATAACGTGTCGCGTAGTTTGTCAATGGCCAATGATGAAACATTTCAAATTCGAAACCAACATGGGTGACGCAATGATAAAACGGCAGACGCTTTTCATTTTTGAGCTAAAAATACTCGTCATGTCGTAAATACAGTATGCTGTAAAGATAATTGAAGTTGGCATTAAGGACGCTTATTTTCAATGGGTTTGTCTTCAATAATGTAGGGACAGCCCCGATCATTTGCAAAGTATTATATACGTATATAATTGCAGATTACGTCACAGCCTGGCTACAAACAACTACAGAAATTATAACGAAACACTCTACAACATATGTAACAGAAACGTCTAATTGGCGTCAACATAGCTACGAATTGCAGTGTCAGACGCCGCACCAACTGGAATTGAACTTGATGGCGAACACTGTTTAGTAGCTTCTCACTAATAACTTCCATTAAGAGCCGACAGGTTTAGTATCTGTTCTGGCCCGCCTGTTTCTATTCTTCACGGCTAGCTGACGTAACCGCCGTTTTACAGTCGTCGTCCTCTTTCCATTTGTGCTTGTCACCGCGACCGTCTCAATCACCCATAAACGTGACATCTTTAACAACGATGGCTTTTAGGGCGCGTTGAATGCGAACTCGTGACCAGACAAGCGGATGTCGGGTCTCGTCAAGTTCACAAGTCGTCTTTTGACTAAAGGCGCACGAAACCCGACTGCTGGAGTCCATTACTAATACTGGCCAGGCCAGGAGGGCCTGCAACGACCTCCAAATTGGGCCGGCATTGTACCGTGTGCCGTTGATAGTTGCTGCGCGCGTTGAATACGACAACAAGGACGCAATCAAATAACGGTAGAAATGTGGCAAAATGCGCTGTAGCACTCAACGGTGCTACTCGGATTATGATTAGTTCTGAAGGTTATTGGAAAAAAGAAACAGTCGTACCTACCTATTTAGGTAGGTACGACCGTTATGTGCTGGATAATAAGGCTATTGAGGGTAGTGTAGCGTCCAGCTTGCGTGGTGCCATAAGGTCGGTCGAAAAAAAGGTCGTTGGTTTCAATTTCGCCAAACCGAAGAAAACAAGGTTTATTAATATATAGTAAAATAATTATAGGCGTTATCTGCATAATAATCTGTAAAAATGTTTTTTTATAGACTGTTTACCTATATTCATGCAATTATTATTTCGTTTCATGTGCCACTCCTATATTAGACCTTTCAGTGCAATATGCAACATGGGGAACAAAAGTAGAAACAAGGTCCAGTAACAGATAATGTTATCTCTGCTGAATAAACAGAATCCACTAATCAAATAAAAGTCGATTGTGAAGTATTGTCAAGTATGTAATCGTCGTCCTTAATTTACCTTGCCTGTTTTTTTTTTTTGATAGGTTGTCAGCTTCTCGGCGCAGTTAGCTAAAAGCGATCAAATAGGCACCGTAATGTTATTTTTACTAACGTATGCACGGCCTAAGAACATGGAAACAGGTTGAAGCCATTATAAATGCTCGACAGTTTTGGATTTTAGCCCTTTATTTTCCCGAACGCCGGCTAAATTTGACCCTGAAAAAAGATTTTTCTTCCCACTAACCTAAATCGGCCCCAGAAGATTCTCCAGCTGTACATAGCAAACGTTTGTAGTGGTTATCAAGCACTGAGTAAGACCTAGTTATACAAAAAATATTGGCCTAAAAATAATTATTATTTGGATTAAATAGAAGCTAATCCTTGTTCTCAATGACAACGAAAAGCTCCCATGTGTGGTTATAGCCAATCAATTACTCAGCACAGGTCGTAAAGGTTTATATTCTGCTTGTATGCAAACACGTCCGGTTGTAATTCCGTTATCAAAATTAGTTTTGAATAACAGGCGCTTGTTGCTGATAACCGACCGGTCTGTGCCGTTATCGTTTGCCGCCAATACATTGTTGATGTTTGGGCACGAATTGCATCGTAAAAAGAAGATGGTGAAAGAAAATTAAAAAATGCGCTCATAATAACAACAACAACAACAATGACCTTGGTGGTAATAAAAAAGTTTTAAATTATGCCTTGTGTTTTCCATACGAATCTGATCTCCGTAATTATATACTATTTTTCGTTTCACCATTTGTCCACAGAGAAATGAAGGATAATATCAGAATTTATCGATATTTTGGCACTCTTACAAAAATCGATATGTCTACGCGCGTACGCTTAGATGCATCATGGAAAATCGCGGAACTGAATATGGAAGAAAGGTTTCTTTGGAAATCGCGGCACCACATTTAATAAAGTGACTGTCGAATGGCCAGTATCTGCTTTGACGAGTCGTTCAAATGCGGTTCATTATGGTAATGATCGACATATATTTTACTGGATCTGTGGATCTATTTTCTGCTGGCACCTACCGCCATAGAGTTTTGCAGTTTGCAACCCTCGATTTGCGCTCGGATGCCAAGAGGCATTACGAAATCATGGTGATGATGACGGTGATTATTGCTAAACGATGATCGTATGTAAACAAAAAAGGCAAAAATCAGGATCATCATTCGTAGGGAATTGGATTTTTAGTAACACATTTTTACAGAGGCAATGGCTACTGTTTGAAATGCGAAGTGAGTTTTTAACGAGTCAGAAAGTGAAGTCGTTAACAGCGCTTGGTTATTTTCATATTAGGCCTAAAGTAGCATCAGTTTAAAGATACTTGTAGGTTGCCGAAGCTAATGTTGTGTGTTCCGCTGCTATAAGTAACAGCTCACTTGAGATGGTAGTACATCAGACGGTAATATTCAACAAATGTACTTAGTCCCTCGTGGCCGATTCACCGAAGGCAGAAAATGTGTCGTAAACGCAGATAAAAAAAACTTTCAGGACAAAAGGTAATGCTGATATAAGCTGTCTACGTGTTTTGCAATGCGTTGCGCAGGGATGAAAGTTTACGACGCTCATTTTGTCAGTTTTGAGTCAGGTGCCGTCTATTATCGTTCAAACAATCTGTTCACATTTATGTACGGCTATAAGGATTTGTCAGAACAGGGAGTTCGATACGTGTATACTGAAATGACCCAATCAGACTAGTGATATTCATTAACGTTTCGTATAGTAGGGTTGTTACTGAAGCGTGTGTGCCCCTAGCTAGTTTCGAATAATTCACTTTTTAGGTCCCAAACTGTAGCCCCGAAGTCTGGATTGTGAAATCGTCAACAACAATACTTCAGTCATATTATAGCATTACCCCAGAAGCAACCTTTTTCTCTCATGTTTCTAAGCTTAGTGAGAATCGAATAGTTAAAGGTCTTAAGGGAAGACGTCTAAAATAGCAGATAATGCTACCAACACGCCGACAACGGCAACGAAGTCTATGGAGAAGTTGTTGCCGGTGTGGAAAAAACTAGAACAACAGTCGAAAAAATTTCGTCATAAAGATATCGTCGATGAGTACTAGTATTTTTGTTTTCGCGTATCGAAATACTACGCGAAATTTTCTGAGGAAGGTTGAAATAATCATGCCCAGATGACTTGTACGCCTTTTCTAGACTAATCACGAGATGCAGGCAAGACGAACATCAATATCGACCATCGTTTCAAGTTGTTCCCTGTGTTATTTAAAGTAAATAACATATCTCCCAGACTAGTCTGAGTAAATGTAGATAACGCTCAGTAGATCAAGATCTCCGCAATGGTCGATTTCAGTCTGTCATATAACCAAAAAACCAACATCTTCATACGCATATCTGAGGCAGTATTGATACTGCTATCTTATTTATTTTGAATGAGTGTTCATTCATAATAGTTTGTATACTTACCTTTGCGTTTATTATCGACATTTACCATGGGTTAGCAATACCCGTATGTCTGCGTAGAAGTTGATAGAGTGTTTAGTCTATTTCCAAACAGCCGTCCCACATAAACAAGGGTACTATTCGAATAACTCAAAATAGCCAACATTTACATATATCAAAATGGTTTAAATAAACCCTGCAATTCTAGATAAATATAGACGACTCCGTGTTAACGCTATCTAGTACGGCACGGTTAAAGAATAATTTGCGTCAATTCGGTACGTGTTTTATTACTGCTATTAGAATACTGGCGTGCGTTCACCCTCTGACCCAGCTGTCGGCTCCCTGTTAGGGACAGACAAAACGATTGGCCAAAACCACGTGGGGTCGATTTACTACATCCGACGGTATCGGTGGAAACTTCCACATCACGAAGCCCCTTTCCCTTGAATATGTGTTACTGTCTGATTGTCTTTCTTTGGCTCTGGGTGCATAGAGTCAAATATTTTGTGGTCTGCGTCTAGATCTACTAGTGAGTCACATTATTCAATAGGCAAACAGGTGATAGCGGGCCGAGTGTATAGGCTCCATGGGCATTCACAATTCTTCACTTAGATATTCATTTGAAACGCTTTACCATATAATATAGCCCCTTAACAAGGTTGTCTATGGGATATCTATAATATAGATAAATAGCATATAACGGGAGGCAACTCTTTTGTCCATGGAAAACCTAGACTGTGACCTTGAGCAAATATGATTTATTCTATGACAGCGTATATTGTTGCAACCGAGATAGTATAGCACCGATTTCTTTAACAAACCGACGTCTCTGTGTTCCTTAAACTTTTAAAAATACTAGAAATGGAAAAAATACCTAGCACTTCGGTGAATAGTCGACTTTTAGCGACATTGTATAGTATTCCTTTTGATTGGTTGGAAATATGTCCGGGTGTACTCCTAACGTGTTTGAGAAGATAAGTAGAGCGCGTGCGATGCAGTGGTACTGGTTGATCAAGCTATGGTAATAGAAACAGATTTTACGTCGAAGTCTTGCTTGGAGCATCATACCTTGCCATCTAGTACTCTATTTCTACTTCACCGACAACTGCCTCTGGGAATATTGATATAACGCAACAAATAATTATAGGAAGAATATCGATACATTTTTTGCACTTCGTGGTCATTTAATTTAAGGCTGCTTCTTTGGATCTATGGAAAAGTTGATCCAAAAAGGTGTCCGTTTTGCTACTAATTTCGCCTGATTATCTCTTTACGCAAAAATTTGCTTCTAAACTGGTAATAGTAAGCTCAATGAGCTTTCTGCATCTAAGAGTGTTATTTTTCTATTCAAACGTATCTTCTAACACCATAAAACATGACAGCATAAAGGGGCACGAAACCATTGACCATCAATAGTACATGGCTAGCTAATGACAATTAATAAGAATACAACTTTTCTTGCGATTTTAGATCAATTACGTTGACAGACCTTCAGTCTCCTCGGTACCTCTTTTGCAGCTTACATTAGTAAACTTGTGCAGGGTTACCATAATATGCTACCGTCTTGGTAAATGCGTAAGCCTGTTCTAGTATGTTGACCGCTACAAGGCCAAAGTAGAGCTCAGCTGATCTTTGTGAAGTGCTTGCATCACAAGAGCGGCCGTTGATTATCTTGAGGAAACTAAATGACACCGACTACTCTTACGAATTTCATTAGGAAATTTATTGAAATCTGCATGTAGGGACAGTTGCAATTTACCGCAAGATACTATTGTATATGTCATGATATATAATCGTAGATCAAGAACTTTTATCATTGTAAACAAGCCTTTCGTTTTACCAATAATGTTGAATGGCAGTAAGTTTAGTCAGGAGGAAGGAAACATTCATCCCAATTCAACCCGAGATGCTAGAGACAACTACCACGTCAACCAAGATTGGTTTAATAAATTTGCTTCTCAATAAAATAAAAGAAGAAATCTACCCGCAAAATACAGGTTTTATCGAGATATAGCTTTTCGAGTACAGTTTATTTATCGTTACGCGTCATGGAAATACTTCCAAACAAACTTAATAATATCTAATAAAAAACACATTATCATTTTATAAACATTATTTAACATACCGAGCGGTTATAGTTTTTAAAGGCTACGGGTATCCGCAGCATTTTCGTTGGGAATCGCGGCCCAACGAAGAAGATCGTTGACACATGGAAAAGCGGGAACTCCTGTAAACGCATTAAATTAGGCTGTATAAGCTCTTTCCCCTAAATTTGTTGGTTTCCGTAAGGAGTTAACTATAAAATATGCTCTTCGCGTGAGTTTGCCCTGCCGAGACGAGTTCTTTGCAGTGACAATATCTACAGGCAATCTTGGAAGAAGAGTTGGTATCACCCTTGGATACGCCTTCCCATAACGTAGCATCACGTTCACACAATAACATAAATCCTGTCTTGTTTCAAACGTAGCCGAAGGTGTTCGACAAATCGATAAGAAGCTGCTAAGGGTTATACTACCTCCGTATCAATAATAGTCTCGTGGCATTGATGTAAAAATACGGTAGCGTAGAGCGCAATGTACTAAATTAAATTGTACAGCCCATTGTTATCAGGAACAAGACAAAAAAAAAGAAATTAAGTCAAAAGTTAGTGGACATTATGGTATTTTCGTGTTGGGAGACAACGTTGCGAATTGTTAAAGCGGTGTCATACCAGTCACTCGACTGATATTGACCGTTGGGTGTAGGCGATCGTATTCCCAGGCAAAAGGAACATGCGTTGATGAGCGTGCAAAAAACCATCATCAACGTAATGGGCGCATAGAAACGTGGGTACGTTTTTTTCTATTACATCTGAGAAGCCCCAAGGATTGACTGACAGCTTGAGGCAAGCAGACCTATTCAGATCCATCCTTATATTCGTTGTTTATTTCGTTAGTTTCCTACCTATAAGAAAAACCAGACCTGCGTACAGTTGTGTTGGCTTGATATTTTTGTGTTTTCAAATCGAAGCATCGTGTGGGCTTAGAAGTCCGAAATGAGGGTATTATCAACGACATAGGGCCAGCTCGTAGAGGAGAAAACTACGTTTGATCGAAGCTAGCTCTATTTGCTGCGGAGCGGATGTTAAAATATTTCACGGTCAATTGGTAATGAGGTGTTTCTATATATACATGTATCTATATTTATGTATATTTATTTATTTTATGTATGTATGTATATGTATTTATATATTGAGACAATGCTGATTCTACTTTTTACATGTGAAATAATAGCACAAATTTTAGTTAACCTCACTCACTTCTAGCTTTGCTCCTGATATAATAACGAGTCTGCTTTGTGTAGGATGAACCGGCCGAGTTGAATAAGTTTCAGCGGTGGTTGGAAGCAAATAAGCGGTGTTCGAAAACTTCTTTATATTTATTTGCGCTTTAGAAGTTAACAGTTTATCCAGGGTCAATTATCCCCCCGATCGTGTTATGACCACTACACAGTATACGGAGCCACGAAACCTTAGTTTAATCGCTAAAACAAAAAAATATGTTAGTCCCAAACGAAAGACCATTTGGAAATTCTTCTGAAAAAACGTTGCTTTGATAAGTAAAATTAAATCTTTCAAGAACATAAACAAGACATTACACCTTGTTCCCATCATAACAGAAGTTCTGTATTTCACAGTCAAGTAGACTAGTGTGAGTTAATGCTATCCGATGTAGTTCCTCTAATGAAGTAATGTAACTCTAAGGTAAACAACCGCACTCTACTTCCTTAGGTATCCAATAAGAGTAGCGTGACATTCTGTATGATTTAGATAATGTACGTCCGCTATGATATTTTAGAAGGACAAACTCTTTTCTTGCGTTCACATACTTCTCGAGTTCAAAGACAAATTGATACGGGCGCTGTTATTAGAGTGAGATTTCCTCATTGTTTGTTCTCCGGCTCGTATGCGTCTTGGAGTCGTATTGCGTTTCTGGAGAGATATAACCTCTCCATACATTACACAGCATGGCAGTGTCTCATCGCTAGGACTGTATAGGGGTATTTTGCGTCAAACCTTGGCATTTGTTTGTGGACTGCATGTATTTTCGCTGTTTCCTTGAAAGAAACAACAAGTTTAATTATGTATGATAAAACATTATATATACCTACGAAAAATAAGTTAATATTTTCAAAAAGGACCTGATCTAGGTAAGTTTTGAAATATGATGACACATACTTCTTAAAGTTGGCAAACCTACACATATAAAGCTACCTAATAAAATAGAACTGATAAAGTATTTTCTATTGCGACCAAAAATCGAATAACGTTTATTCTGCGCGAACTGGCTCAGGTTGTCTCTGGTACGACTACATTTGAGAAACCAAACTGGAAGCGTTTCGCGCGACGCTCTCTTTAAATTTTTTTTTAGATTTAACTAAATAGCTAGCTGTTCGATGTCAGTATAGTAGCATCAAGGTCCTTGGTGGCCGATTTTATACTTGTCAAACTACTTCTTATTTCGAGAACAGGATTTTTCTTCTTTCTTATCTTTGATATGGTCTTTATTGGCTGTCGTCAATCAGAGGCGAAATCTCATAGAAACGATAAGCGCTCGAAGCGTTCCACGAATTTGCAGGGCTATTGCGAAAGGCCTCTACCAGTTCATCATGACTTGGAACTTGCTGCAGTATTTATGGGGTCATCGGGTGTGGGGAATAACGAGGAGATCAGGTTCCGGATACTGTCTACCAACGCAAATAAGCAAAACAATGTTAATTACACCTTCAAAGAGAAAGACCAGGATTCGCCTGACCACTTACCTATCATCGATTTCATCAGAGGCACTAGCAGAAGCATAAGTTAGTGATTCGCCCACCAGTTCAGCCAAACGGGGGATAGGGTCCCTGATGCACCAGCAAAGGTCAAGCGTCCTAAGAAAAATGGTGGCAATTGCTACAGTTAAAATCGCATTGTAACTATCCAAGGCGTATTGTTATTATGATGACAAAACTGGTCTGCTAACACCGAATCACCAACGTAAAACTTATCATAATGTTATATTCACGAAAGCTTACTTTATAATTATTTATTAACTGCAATATTTAATATTTTTAGAATTTGATATTGAACGGAACATTTATAGAAAATATCGGTGAAGCTTTGTGACTAACGGCTTCGAATCAATATAAAAAAAAACTTTGTAGTAGATCATTTTGTATACCTTAACGTAGAAATACCGTACCTAACTTTGGGACGCTATCGATATATATATATATATATATATAATTCTAACCCAAATACATTTATATATTTTGCAGAGTTTACAATAGAGGACTCTCGGAAGAGGTACCAAGATACCAAAATTAAAATAATCGTTGTCCTTTTGATCAACTGCGACAAGTTTGAATACTTCCAATCAGCTTCGCATACTTGCAGAACCATTTCCGCACTCTGGACATCCTGTTCAGCTACGGCGGAAAAATATGATACAGTGATGGTGTAGGTTGGCGTCAAGGCATTTACGCTGTTCTGTACCTTGTTAAATCTCTCATTATAATAGGAACCTTAATTCCTATTTGGCAGGCATATCAAATGGAACCTGCCTGAACAAATATGGAACTCAATAATAGTACTTTCGTGAGCGAGCTTCTCAACTCTCGTGAGGTGCCTTTCATGAATCATCATTTCGAAAGACTCGCCTTCTGTAATCGTTTTTTTTTTTATGTATAAACGCGAATAAAACTACTCGTTTAACAATAGCATAATCAACGTTATCAATTCGTGTATAAGTTACATAGCTTTGGTAAGTGATGTAATATGGTAACTCGTAACCATAGTTTACTAGCATAAAATTATAATATATACCAAATGGTATAGTGAGTAACGTAAATACAGTAGAGAGCACTGTTATTACGAAGTGGGTGATATATTATAATTATATTCACTCACAAATATAAGCTCACCGATATCCAGAGAAATTAACAGAACGACTTTTATTAAACAAAGCACTAACCGTTTACGTCAAATGGAATTTTTACTTTTCAGCAACTGCATAAATTAACTTTCGGCAATTTCAGGGAAAATCAATGGATTTCTGTTTTTCTTTTTTCACAAATAGCATAATCATAATAAATAAAATAGTTATAAATAAAATAGAATAGCTACTGACGCATTACCGTAGTAATACATGGAAGTGATGCAGTGCATTCGAATAGCGTAAATGTTGTTTTTTTTTCCTAGATAATCTCTTTTTTTTTTCAGGATATTGTAACATGTCGGGACGAGCCGTTTACCTATTGCAGGACGCTTTATTGTTGCGTCATTGTTCTCCTGTATCTGATTGAAATCCTCACAACTAAACCGCTTCAACAAATGGACGAATGTCACCTTCCACTTTATTTTACTTATTGACTCAATGCTTATGGTGTTTTACTAACTTCAGTGTGTAACGTGGAATTAGGTTTTTTTCAGGGTCTTACATTTACGTTCTTATTTAGCGTGTTGGGTCAGCACAGCCTTGTCTGCGGAAGTACATTTCTGAAATAAACCCATTTATTACAACATTTGTTAAAATCCCTAGAATTTTATAAATGTGATTACCAGCCAAATTTTAGGTCTTCCACTTTGCCTACCTAAACGAACCACCGAAATACAGCCACTGATATTATCATTAGGTCATTATCTTCTTTTGCGGAATACTGTAAATAAAAGATACGAGAGCTTACCTTTATGGGATAGCCCTTCTTCATGGTACTGCCATCTTTGTGCGCACTGTGACATAGTCTGTAAAAATAGGCGACTTCTAAAAAACTCTGCCGGAATCCGCGAGCAGTTTTTCGTGTGATTTGTAAATTTTCACTTACTAAAGTATTCATTAAATGTCTAAATATAACAAATATCTGCCATTGATTTATTGATGAATATTAATGGCTATTCCAATAATATCCAACAAATTCATTTGCCGACTCACAATGTTGTAACTCGTAAATTAGCGCCTTCTCATTAATTGTTTTGAATACTCCAGGGCCGTCAGTTGAAGCCTTGACAAAGTGTTGAACTTGGCTAATAAATGATGCAATCAGACAGCGCCCAACAAACAGATCGCACGTCAATTTGCCTGACGCCATTCCGCATCTCCAGGTTGTACTGTTCTTATCCTCACTTATCGCCTATGTCCTACGCTATCTTCCCGGCCACATTTTCCGTATCCATGTCTCTAGGCTCCTGATGCTGTACCATAGAATTCCTTATTTGATTTTTTCCCTGCTACCCCACTGGCACCGTGACATAACGGACGACGGCCAAACAGGCGTGAACGCTTTTGAAGATAGCCGCAATTAGAGATACAGTGGCACGTCTTTCTGTGACTATGGGAAACCCCTTCATGCGTTAACACTGTTTAGTACTAGTAGTAATAGCAATTATAAAGCGAGATAACAACAGGATTTATTAGATGTACTCTATATATTCTTAGAGATGTACTCTCTAACCTAACTCGATACCAATAGATATTTGTTTATTACGAAGTGCTTGATGCTGCAACAAGAACAGTATTAATACGATTGAACCAATACCCTTCAGCTTTGTTAGACGATTGTGCATGGGTCGTTTTTATTGCTAAGCAAAGAGCGATAAAGATATACATATAATATTGTTCAGACTATACTAGCTTGAACAAGATATTTTAGTAGTTAATAGAAAGACCCTGTCAGGCCTTCAATGTTAGTGAAGCTTTTCAGTCGACGTGCTGGTTTCAGTGGCCCAAAGAATTTACCTACGAGAAAGCATGGATTCTGTGAACAAGGACGTACATTTCATAATATAATAATGAGGTCATCCTCTGCGATTTTTCTTATCGCTCCTGACCATGTTCAATTACAGTATGAATCAAAGATATATAAGCGCGTCGCGTGACGAACCCACAAAAGGCAATTAATAGTTACATTTTACTTTTATGTAATCATTTTCATTACGTGATCCTTAGTATCGAGTTTATTATGTTGGATATGCAGGCCTTACCAGCTCTCTTGCCACTATATTCTCCGCTAAAAGGGCAGATAGATATTTTCTGTCTTTTTTAAGCAAGCCATGAGTTCGCAGTCGTTGTTATTATTATTATTATTATAAAATCACCATTTAAGTTAGCCAGAGTCTACTTTTCTGCAAGTCGTCTTATTCCAACAAGGTAGTGAGGTACTTCGAGCCCTTACCTATATTGTTTATGTGGTAAACCACGATAGTCAGATCGAGTAATATAAGCTGTTTCAAGTTGAAGCCAGTGATGAGTGCGGTGTCTTCTCTTCCTATGAACATTACTAGTACACCCGTCGTCTATCGGACGGGCAGGTCGAACCGATAGCGCTCTCGTGCGCTTTCGTGCTGTCTAAATTTAGAAAACACGGGTCTTTTAGATGTTATTGTATATTAGGATCAGCGCCAGCTGAGGTCAGTCACCCATATCAGCAGAGAGAGGGGGGAGAGAGAGAGAGAGAGAGAGAGAGAGAGGTGGGGGAAAAATTGATTCCACCAATACTTAGCTAAGATAATCTATACGATGAAATTTTGAGAGGCCACAATAAAATATAAGAGCACCCTGGCTGCTAACATAACGCATAGTTTGTCATTGGTAAAGTGTCAATATGTGAGCCATTGGGAAGCGGCGTTTCTACAGAGCGACAGCTCCCTTCGAATCAGTTGAACAAGTTCCAAGTTTTCAATTTTCATCTTCCCTCGAACGCGAGGGAGTGTTACTCTTCCTCAAACGATTCTGTAGCATGCTTGTCTAGAGATACACTCTCCTCTGCCAGTGAACACTCGCCGCGCCCACTTGACTGGTTTTGTTTGGCAGTATTTTTGCATGATGGGCTTTATGAATGGGTACGTTGCTTATGGAAGGTTTCCACTGGGGCGACGCTGTCAAAGCAGCCGTGGCAATTAATGAGTATCTCCGGGTCGCATTAATCAAGAGAATGAACTGAGACCTTTAATGAAGTAGTTAGATAAATTGTATACGTAATGAGTTATAAATGATCGAGACCGACGTCTCTGATGAATGCTAGAATCTTACCGTGATGGCCAGTTTGTTATCCATTATTGTTACCAAATCGTGTATTTCAATAATACATCAAATCGATATTTGTTCATGTAGCTATTAATGTTTTAAGTGAATAGTAGCTATTGCTCCTATCCACCGCACCTGAACAGGCTCGTTAATACAACTCTCCATTATTATCTCTAAAACTCCACTAAAGGTGTCCGACAGACTGAACGATGTCTATCTCGTAATGGAAAAAAGTGTGTAAAGCCATCGCAAAAATTCAAACGAGAAATACTCCACACGTAGTTTGTGAATCCACGTAGAACGAGATAGATGTATATATAGTAGTGTCAAGATACGGAGTTTAAAATTTAGGCGGGCAAAGTCTTAAAATATCACGTTATTAGCAGCATATGGTCTGCATAAAGCATCAGCTCGCAACCTCCATAAAGAATACGCCACCTATGGGGCAATATTTAGCGGTATTGTCTAATGTGAATTTTTAGCGGAAGCTGGAACAGAAATTAGACAACTCGTAAAGTTTTGTCTTGAACTTGGGTCACATAAAGAGCGAAGCTGGTCGCAAAATATGCTAGAGATAAATGCATACTGTAAAGGAATTAGCTTGGACGCTGTAACGTGTTCGTGTGGTTATTTTAATATCTGTGCAATATAGACGTCCTCCGCATTTTGAAGCTGGCGTTCTCTAAATTAGAACGGAAAACTTAACGCATTTGATACGGCTGCGTTCGGTAGATAAACTCTATATCGAGCAGTCTGAATTTACGTTGGTGGTATTTTCCAACTTGCACATGTTTGCCTATCCCAGGTTTTGTTATGAAAACATTGTCTAGATATTTTACTATAGATTCGTCTATGCAGATTTATGCATGATCTTAGCGGTCGAGAATGTCTATCACTATCGATGCATACGTTTAAAACCTCTTTCTGCCTAATTAATGGCCTAGTATCCGTGATGCGATAGAAATCACAAGATGCTTGCTGGTCCAAGCCTACAATTATTCCATCGAGTCCTTATAGATTTAACTGTGCGATTCGGAATGCTAATTATACATAGTAACAACAAACTACGCAAACCGTATTAGTGATATTGATATATTGTCCGAAAATCATCAGCAAAGAATGATAGTTAAAAATTAAACGGCTATCTAGGTTTTTTAAGAATTTTATATATATATATATATATATATATATGTATAGTATCGTATATATCTCATCAAAAGTTGATCCCTACAGCTTTACTGTCAACGTTATGCCTGCATGCCAAACTTACAATTCAAACGATTGGTGATTTCTTTGAATCTTGCCGCTTAATACTGCAGTATCTCAATACGTTAATTTTTCGAATATAATGGTAGAAACAGAATTTCCCTTTGCTAGAATTAATGAATGGAGCTGATTTTATTTGGGAACAGTTACGCCGACACCCTCTAGAAAAGCACGTTCATAGAAGTGTTTATACGTAAAACCGAAAGGACAAGATTCGTTTAACGCCTGTATATATAGAATAGTACAGATTCCTATAAGCATATAGATAAATGTGTATGGAACCCTGTAATAGGTACGGTAGTCATGTCTATGATTGTGTATTCTCGTAGACCGCAAAGATGCTTTAAGTAAAAAAAATCTAAATTTCTAACTAATTTATACTATATAATAATTGATTGATAATAAATAAATGAGCCATTGCATTTACTAGTCGAGAAGGGATCAGATGAGCATGTTTATTTAACAAGCTAAAAACGCATGTTAGACACGTCTAAGTGCATATCGCTAACATAACGTTTACCGACAGTAAAAACTATATATACTTACATAAATAAGGAATCTTCCCGTCCGACATAATTGCGCAACTTCTTGCCACTTTCGGTTTTTTAATACTCGGCTGGGGCTTAAACAAACGAACTGATAAAGAAGACTGGCACCGGGATGGCTATTACATGGTCGTCCGGAGGTTGATAGAACATCCCCGTGGTAAACGTATTCACTGGCTAATCGTAGGAACATGTTGTAGTCTAAGCTCGAATTTAGGCGTCAAAAACAGACCGACTGCGTTTCATGATGGCTAGGAAGCAGCCAAAGGCCGGCCAAAAAAAACCCGGAGCATAAAAGGTAACTTGCAAACCTTCTGTATAAAATACTGCTGAACTTGATTTCTTAATGAATACGCTTCTAGAAAGGCTACAACAACAACAGAAGTGGTTATGCGAAGAAGAAATACCATATGGAATACAAGGACAGCTTCATCTCGATCCCCTTGCAAAACAGATAATTAAATGAGCATTACTCGTTCGATTACGTGTCACTATTAAACACTTCGTAACGAGATGTCCCATATTCCCTATGCTCCTCCATACAAGTTCCGGAGTTTGCTTTGTTGTCCTCGTGGTTTCTGTTACGAACGAAAAAAAACTATGAACTGGTCCTTAATATCTTCAGATGTGCTGTATAGAGCGCATTTATAAATTCAGTTTATATTTAAATTGCACTCCAAAGCAGAGCATAATATGTACGGCATAGTACATGACGTGTCATTGAACAACACAGTTCGTACTGTTTAAGGGAACGCGATCCGCAATAGAGAGGCGGTGACTACGTTCGAAGAGGCCTGAACAACAAGGGGACCATTGCAGAGCGTGCACATTTTCATGGAAAATTATCCGGCCAGGTAGAGATTGATCGATGATGTGATTTTTGTATGGTTATTGTCTACTATTACAGTGACGATTATTTGGACCTTTGAACGATTGTGTATTTATCCATGACAATCCCCTATAAATGCAGTAGCGGTACCTTCGAATTGAGCAGTTACTTCTAATGAAATAAACCGAATTTAAAAAAATGCGAAGCTTTACGGTTGAGCAATGTACGTAGCCGATCTCTCAATGATATTATGTTGATTCAAACAGTAAGTCAACTGTATATTTTGTCTTTAAAAGGTATATAATCGTTCACTCGAGGGATGTATCGCTTGGAAAATCGCTTAATAACGGTTCTGTACTTGGACGCTGAATATGAATGCAAATCTGGAATCTCTGATGTTGATCGGGCTGATCGATTTCACCAAAAAGCGACTAAAAAATATTAAGGGCCTGTACGAATCTGGCTTTTTCATCAATAGAAACCTGCCCTTCTGATTACGCCAAATCATCCGATCCGATACGAAATGTTATACCGCAATTTGTTGCATGTCTTAGAACTCGCAATCGATGGTTCTTTTTCATGCATTTATGTTACTACGACTAAACCCAAACGCTGATCGAACCCAGTTTAATCCATCAGCATTGTGTCTGATCTTGTATGATGCCGAGTAACTTGTGTTCGTTCAATTACTAATCGGATTCGCGCACAGATCGTTAATCGCCTTTCCGACGAGCAAAATAATTTATTAGGTAGTCAATGTGTTAAGTGTTGCGCAGTGACGCAACGCTTGACACATTGATTTCCATGCAGCATCCAGTGTCACGGTAACCAGAAGCTATTCGATTACTCAGTCATACTTTTTTCTCTGCTTTTCTGGTCTGTCTCATCTTTCTCAGCTTTTTCGTTGACATGAATGATACAATCTATAGAGCATCAGCACGACTGCGGCGACGCGTACGGTGCGGCCCATACTTCAACACGTACAAATTGTGACGTACGCGCTCGACAAAACAACTATCGTTGACCTGTACGATGGATTATTACATATCTATCTACTAGATATCGCTACTTATTGGACTGTGTGTCAATTTTCCTATTAGGGCATTCTGTGTTTAGGACCGCCATCCTGACGTGGCGCATCAGTTAAAGGGCGAGACTAGCGCTGTCACTTGGCTGGTCACAAGCTAGCAACTTCTTACTCCATTGAATATTTACAGAATCTTTCTTTCGCTCGCTACCAAATTGTCTTCCCGTTCCTCTGCAGTAACGACATCGACCGGACTTCTATGCGATAGCACAGATCCTCTTCTTTTCTACTCGAACTGATTGATTAATGTTGTCTGGACTACGGCGACTGTCGCTGTGACAGCTGCCAAGGCTGAGGCGATCCTGATCAAAACATTTGCTTATTTCTCCACTCAGCTCGGCTAGAAAACAGCTTCTGGGTGATGACGACGCTCCGATGGTCAGGTCAGGAGCATGCTAGACGATTGCTGATGAACCACCCACACAACGGCAGGCGCGCTCGGCCACGAACTCTATCTTCCCGTTTGTATCGGCGTGCGTAACTGTGTCCGACGTGTCGGTACCGTCTAGTGGAACAGCGAGCAGCATGAGTTAAGAAGGAAGGCATCAGCCGGCGAAATGGTCATTCAGCCACAATGTCAGCG